TATAACAGCAGCTCCGTCGACAGCATAAATGACTAGCAGTATTGTTAGTATTGTATAGGTTGTGTTCGCGAACAAATCATAAGCACTTGTCTATGACACCAGTCAAGTAATTTACCAAGTAGTCACATACGTATGCGCCACCTCTCAATATATATGTATATATATATAGTGAACCATGCAACCAGCCTTATATATAGTGAACCATGCAACCAGCCGTGCCGCCTGCAGCACAATTGATCACTGTCACTCGTATAATCGCACGTCGTATATGCTGGCACATTGCGTATGCACTACTGAGAGTATCTTAACTCCTCTGTCGAATAATTGGTCAGCCTGTAACTGATGGACATCATTTCAAAGTGTAATGACTGAAGTCAAGCTACACATATATAATGTCGTCATAAATAAACCTTATACATCACCGCCAGTTTCTATCCCGCCGCCAATCAAGGTGCCGTCGTGTCATGTTACATAAATATGAAGAAAAGAAAAAAGTGATATTTCTCGTCCTAAGGACTTTGTGTTAGTGTCCGCCGTATACGTTGAATATTCCTGAGCTGTGCTACGGTTATTAACGTACGAGTGCAATTGACCTCACAGATTGCCTCAAACCTTAGTATGCTATATTGTCTCCTTGCGAATCATTGCTGGTGCCCAAGCAAACACTTCTACCTTCAATAGGTCAAATATGTGTCCACGCAATCACTTCCACCCTCGATAAGTGTTATATCCATGAACTTTGAACCTTTTTTTGATCGACCTATGTCGCCCTGAAATTCCAAGTTAGCTCTGTGTCGATTCTACTCAATACTAGCTTGTAGTGTTTTCCTTTAGCCACCAGGATATATTTGAACTGAATTTAGCACGTCCACGAGCTGATGACTGGCTCAGCCCTAGACGGACAAAGAGTATAAAGTTGTTCCATGCGTATCGCTGGTAAGTTCAGAACTTGTAGACTTCGTTCGGTACCTGAAAAATATTTCGTGAGTCCCTCTCCATCGTATGGTCCGTATTCGTCCAGACTGTATCATTGCCTCAAGACCAGTCAACCCAAATACGATTATTTTTCGAAATTTTTGAGTTAGTAGCCGAAATAGCAAAATAACCTCCTTAGCGTTTTGCACATGTGTCATCAGCCCTAAGTTGTCGCGCCGCTTGATAATCCCTTTCATATGTTGTAAGGTCTTATCCAGCGCGGAAATCGATTGTTGAGTCTCAAATAATAAAATGGTCTAGCGTAATATAGACTTCTGCCTTGGTATGTCATCCGGTATTAAATCAGAGGAAAATTACGTCACCACCTCATCAGTATGCCATGGCGACTGCAGATGAAATCCAAGCAGTCGTTTCAACAATCGAACACAGGCTTCCTTACTCACGTTGTAACTAAAACATAACTGAATAATTTTAGTCAGCTTAACCTGTGAGGAACGAAATGTAATAAATACAGTAGTTCGGTTTCGGATGAGTCATCACTTCTGTCTCATTAAATTCTCTGTTCCACTAATTGGTTCGGTCCTCTTTTAGGGTACTATGTCCACACGCGTAACGCCAGTAAGAATGCGTCAACCACTAATACCAATCATTGTTCACAAAAAAAAAATGCTAGCTACGTCAACCGCAATCACCACAACACTAGACTGCTTCGCACATACACTGCAATGCTTGTAGATATTTTTGGTCTCCTACGGAGTGGAGAATTTACTGTTCATCACCAACTAGAATCGATTCACCTAACACACACATGCATCGCGGTAAGGGCATCAAACTACATGAGACGTATGCAGATATATGATACCAATTAGTTAAACAAGTATTGATCGTGCAACAACAATCACAGTTCTTCTACTACCAAGGGAATGGGCTGATATCTGCCCTTACCGCGCACTGGTGGACTGCTTGGCAAGAACGAAGATGAAGCGATGATACTAGGAAGATGGACTTCGGCGGTCAACCGAACATACTGGAAGCGAACACCCAAAGGTCACAGTAGATTGGAAAGTTAGTAGGATACATTCAGCAGTCGGGCTTACCCTCTAATGCTCCCCCATCATTTCAGTTTTCACTGAAGAAGCCACTACTTCTAACGGGCGTGATAGAGAAGCAAGAAAGGAATCGTGGTGACGCCGGCACCCTCAGTACCGTACGTCCAGCGCCGTCCAACTGAATGGTATCAGGCAATCAGACACCAGGAAATCTCGACGAAGCTGCGACTTCGACCATACCACTTGAATGACAAGTCTTTTAATAGTGTAAAATCACAGAGCGATTTTATCGAAGGTAAAACGCTGAGAATGCCAAAGGCCAATATGTAATAGCCGGGCCTCCACATTAGACTCTATGTTATAAACGTACTCTTAAGCAGTACGTATACTGAAAACGTACTCTTAATAGTACAAGGAACTTAAGTTTCCTAAATGGTTTTTAATGAATTTATTAATTAATACCTTTTCTATTTTACGTATCAGATATTTGAACAACGCCATTAAAAGACCCCAGTAAAATACCAAACATAAGAGTTGGTCTAGTTCTATTAATAGAACTATATTTACTTGCCAACTTTATTTATATCTGAATATTTCGGTAGCGAGATGGCTCAACCGAATATAGGTTTCTAGGGACTATTAACGTTACCTAGTTGATCCTCTGATATGCCAACCAGATGTGCCAGTCTGATGAAGGCTAATGATTAAAACCGATTGTTCTCGATAAAAACCGTTAAATTTTATAGGATTGGAGTAAGTTATTCAGTGGAATGTGGTTTAGGGCAAAAGAACACGAGTATTGTCAAATATATACTATTAACAAGAAAGGTGAGCGCGCATCATAAAACAGCGATGGATGATTCCGAGTCAGCTCACAAAGTGGTGAACAACTATGATACTCGCGTATCAATATGCAAATAGCGATCCAAGTTATGCAATTCCGATATAAAGTAAGAAATAAGGGAAGGGACGAAAAGTATGATCGAATAAACAAGAAACCAGCTGCGCACGATCTCACGACATCGATTAAAAAAGAAAGTGGGAAATTATTCGTTTGAGCCGAATCTTTCACAGGCCGAAAATAGATGTGACGGGGAACAATCTATTGACTTCGATTTTGAAGCAGATGGAGAAGTGAGCTTTTGTGCACAGGTGAATATCGCACAAACGAGAATTGTTCATCTACAATGTAAGTGTTGTAACTATGGAATGTAAGAGTACTGGTTTACACTCTTGAACTTGAAGTATCAGCTTTTTGATCTGAGCAAGCGCCACCACGTGCAACATCACTTTTGCATGGTGCACAATAGTAAGCACTATGTTCTTCATGGATAAGTTCAAACCTGACAACCTATGGCAATAAACGTTAAAACTTGCTGAAAAATTGAACGTGACAATTAGTGAATGTGTTTTTTCACATATGACGTGTTGTTTCAGACCAATAGTTTGTAATGCGCTGATGGAAAGCCCCAGATGATACTTTTCTGTTCAACATCATTTACGGTGTCGGATGGTGTATGCATCCTCTGGGAGAGCTATTATTTTTATGTGGAGCGGTGTAACAATTTACACAATGGGTATGTAGATATTCACACTTGCTTATCAGCGCTTCCAGTCCAGATACTCTAATGTTTAAATTAGAATACACATTCAAAGATAGGGACAAGCCATGCATAGCCGAGTTCGATGATTATTCGGAATGCTCTGAGAATACTGCGAGACATCACGTTCCAATACTCCACAGGGCACAAACTCATAAACTGCTGCTGATATGTTGTATAGTCCCCGAAGAGCAGTGGGACGAACAAGTGAATTTCTGTCAACTCAAACACGATTGCTAATATTTTAAACAGTTGTTCATGCTCAGTAAATTGCGAAATTCATCCAGAGTGGGCTGCTGTTGACCAGACTGGCAAATTTTCGGGGGTGGAAATTTTACATCGCTTTATAGCAAGTTCTTATTTTTGTTGTTGTTCCTAATCTCCTTTTTGCGATTGTGATCAAACTTGGGGAAGAAACCATGTCTGTGTGTGTTCTTTTCTTCATGAATACTGCGATAATATTACTTCGTGGGAAACGCTTTCCTTTTTTCTGGAAAATGCTTCTCGCAAGGGCAAGGAGTGCGGCCTAGCTCTGGAGTCTCAAGACAATACTTCGAACAGATGCATCTAGTAGCATCGAGAGGTATTCTAACATTCCAGTTCGGGATACACAGGCGGTCTTTGCATCTCGTTACATCATTATTAGGATCTTTAATGAAAACAGAACCGACCGAAGCTCGGGGTTCTTTTGTAAAGTTTCCGAACTCCACCGGATAATGTTCTGGATCTGCATAGCAAACTACAGTCTAGGGCAAACCTTATCAGTTATAGTCTCGAGGAACGATTTTGGCGATCGCGTCGAACTGGGTCGGGGTTGAAGTTGCCACAAGTGGCGGTGGCTTTCGGTGGCTTGCAAAAATTAGTCCAAGTGCCTCGATTCATTCTAGAGTTAATGCAAAACGAGTATCTCAACGATTTGTCCATTTTTTTTCTGCTTCTTAGAGGAGCTGATAGAAGGATGTCGGGACAGTGCCTCACAGAATCATTACTTGGCTCAGTAAATAACAGATAAACCTGACAGCGAAGTCGAGTAAGAAGATAAAATCTATTCTGCATCATAATTAGTGCATCAATTACCAACTTTGCGTATGGCTGGGAGCAACAAATGAGATTTAGTTCATTCAAGGTTTACAGTTCCAGTGTTTGTTCGTTGACTGCAAATCTGAAATCATTGCACATCGCCCGCATTAGAGCAGAGACACATGACAGTGTTTGTCATATTTCAGTTCTTTCGAATTCGTTGTTGATATATATCAATTACTTGCTGATAGATTCAAATAGGAAACCAACGATGGCAAACGCAAACTGAAGATATATAAAACATATCACCAATTTTTGAACAGGGAAAGCTATTACATATATAGTGCCTTAGACAAACCAATTATTCACGCAAAAAGAAAAGAAAAGAATTTTAGTGGAATTATAATTCTTTAATCTTTGTTGGTACGAACAGCTACAAACTGTTTCCGTAATATGTGTCGTACGTGAAGTGATGCGATTGCAACTCCTCGCACTCTTCACGGTGCTCTCAGCTAAGATAGGTCTCTTGCCGTGACCTCTATTGGGCTGACATCATCTGCAAGATAGTTTTGAAATTTATAGATTAAAGAGAAGACACAGCTATGAAAACCTTTAACTTATCTGGCTGCCATACCATATCAAGCTATTGAGTCAATCAATACAAGGGCGATCGTGGCTAGCAATTTGAGTCTTCCGTCCAAAAACATACAAACCAAGGTGTAAGAAAATTACTAAGTCTATCATACATACCAAAGTGATATCTGAGTATGCAAAAGTATCATCGCTGGCGTAGCAACACTGTGCTATATCATAGTTATTCATATATTACGGAATTCAGGTTCCGGCTTACCTTTCGATGTACTAATATTGTCGCTAGTCTCATTCTCATCCTACTTTCCTGCTGTATTATCGTCGCTAGTCTCTGCTTCATCCCCATTGCCTGTTGCAGTCCTGTCTTCAGTTTCGTTCCTTTTCTTGCTCGTTATTGTGGCGTCCGCAGCCACACTTGGGCTCTTTGTCGCGTCCTCCACCGGGCTGACAGCATCTGCAAATAAAGTATAAGGTTATAAAGTGTATCAAGTACATATAACGCCTGTTGCCTCTTCTCCCCACATAACACACCACGCTAGTGAGTTGAGTATTCCGCAGATGAGCACAGCTAGCCATCGGTGTGTTCTTCTGTCCAAACACGTGAACCCACGCCAAAAAAAATTAAGCAAAACTCTGATTCTCACTGGATTAGGAACAATGACGCAAAAGTATTATCCATGTGGGTACTGCTGATCGGTAACCATTCAATAAATTCGGTGTTATGATTTCGGCTTACCTTTCAATGTATCAATATCGCCGCCGGACTCCGTCTCATCCTTGTTTCCAGCTGCATCGCCGCCTTCAAATTCGTTCCTATTTGAGGTAAACACATATACGCTCTTGTATTAATGCTGCTAAGGATTTGAGGACAAGCACTCGGCATATCACTCACACAAGAACGAGCTCTCACTGGACAAGAAAAGGCATATAACCGGATAGTCGACCCACTAAGCATAATTCGGATGGACACGGACATATTCATACCTTCGATTTGGGTCAACGGGATAAACCCACTTCTGATACAGGTATACGAAGAAGATTACATCTGCAACGTCCAAGCATTCATGATTTGAGCATAAATCGAAAGAAGTGGGACAAATGAAATTAACTAAGGATGATTTGTCGATTGAGAACAAGACATGCCTCACGTGCCTGTAGGTGCGGGGGCTGAAAATAGAAACTTCCGTACGTAGAATTTGTCATCAAGGGTAGGAATCAAATCGACAACCGAATCATGAAGCTTTTGAGAACGGAATGGCACTAAATACACACATCCAAGCCTATAATTTGGTACAAAATGTACGGCATTCGCTCTCAAAAAGGAGTAATGTGGAGTTTCGCCACTGCGAATAAGTACTTCGGAAACAAACTGAGAAATCAATTTCGAGGTTTGCACATTTGAATATCGATCCAAGCAGTGGACACCCTAATTCACTCGTTTACCATCACGCAAGCACGCCAGTCTGTGCAGCCACGGCATTGTAATGATGAAGGCGAAGAGATCATCGATGAAGGTGTTAAGGGCCTTGTAAGTCATCATCCGCCAAGGCATGTGCGCAACCGACTTCAGTTTGTAATTGATGAACAGTTGCGGCGTCATGGCGATAAAACCTGCATCATAGTCAATTGGATGTACGTTTTTAGAAAACGCATCACGATTCTGGCGTGTGTTGATAGCTTCCACTTGGGAAACATATGGATCGATTTGTTCTCCAATCTTGTATCCAAGTCAAGATTATCTGTGCGTGTTTTATGGCGCAAATCAATACACCAAGCATGCATTGCTTGGCTAGTTGATCCCGGCGCATGCCCATAGAGCTATGCTGGTTACCGATTGAAGATCATCGTGCAGCAGGGATGATGGTCGATCAGTTTGGGAATCAATTGTGAAGCAGTCTGATCGGTAGTCCACATACCGAAAGTGTAGATGGCACCAACCAAGCTATTAATGACCCACGAGTAGACACTCTTATATTCGTTGTAGTATAGTGCATAGATCGAGTACAGGGCAATGCACGGTCCCAGGAGTTTCCCGAGGAAGGAATAAGCGTACTGCAGTGAGAAGCCAGAACGAGGTTGGGTTAGGTCACAACATAAAATGACGCAGACAACAACGGGTATCTACAGGCGAAGAAGCCACGTCAAATGCAGTGCGCGAATACTCCCACCTTCTGCCAGGCCATTCAATTGGCTCATAATCTAATGATAATCAAAGAAGTTGAGCGCATAGCCCATTTACATCCAGGATTCGCCACAGAAGGCCCACAAGACAACAACTTCAGAGAACTACAAACCCGTGCCAGCGCAATACAACGCACATAACTGATGAACGTACCGCAGGCATCGAGCATGCTTTATCACACACCAAGATATTCACGATTCTTTGAATACAACTCATTGAACATGTCTGAATAAATACATCACATGCATCGTGCGTGTTACCACTTACGTCATCGTATTCCTTGGTCTTAGACACAGCGTATGACTTCTTATCGTCGAAGCTAACTTTCGGTATAATGCCGAACCACCTCTGATTGTGATGCACAGTGACATCCGAGGCCTTAGTGACTTTCCACATCTCAATCAGAATACCTGTGCCCGTACTGACAAATCAGTAGGGAACGACAAATGAGTACACACGAAAATAATATGCTCGATACAAGCCTGAGGCTATGGATAAACTCGTACCGCATCGAAGTGCCAATGTCATGGTAGCTCTAATATTAGCCAAAGGCTTAAAACACACTGTTGTATGTCTGTGTGAAGACGTTGCGTCACTTAACTTTCCAACCGAAGTGAACGGATACGACTACCGCGTACAAGAACAAGCACATATACACACGCACACACTCGGGATCATACGACCACCCAAACATATGATTTGTACAATTTATAGATACGAAAGCCGAACTTGATTCCGAGACAGCCAAAAATACTGTATATCCTATTGCAATCGAATTTAAGAACTGCTCATTAGGACAGGGCCATAGCCACCGATAGATACGAGTAGAGAGCCTTATTCATCGCGTTGAAAGCACAATTGCGACGGGCAGATTCAAGGCAATACCTGAAAAGTATCATGGCGCTGGTTTCGTTGTCTACCAGGTACAAGAAGATCACAATTTGGAAAAAGAGGTTGGTAAAGATGGTCCGGATGGACAACCCTTCTACAGACTTGCGGTTCTTCCAGAATTGAATATCTGTGATGTATTGAAGTCGGAATTTGAGGTAAAATTGGGTCTTTTGCGCAAACAAGCATTTTAGGATTTGCCCGTTGGACACTGATAGATTGCTTATGACACTTGCAATTGTACTGCGGTTTAAAGTTGGCTGCATGTCATTCAACATATTATCCCGGCCCGTATATACAATTTGACGAGTGCATAAGTTAAATATTGCCGGAAACTGCGTATGAATGTAATGTATATTAAAAATTGATGTGCACAGACACCTATACATATCACATTGGTGGCAAGACAATATATATATATATATTTAGGGGCATACCATTTTTGAACGCGAGTATGTCGAATACCGTGTGCAGAACGGTGACAATCATGGTCACCACCAGCAGGATGGGATTAGTGTCGGTCAACATGCGCTTCATCATATCAGATTCGCCCGCCGCAGCACCCCCCTATGCAATACGTGAGAACAGCACATGTGGAATGAATATATATACACGAATCTGTACACAGCAGCGCCATCGTTATGTACACATACAACTATATATCGAGATTAGTGTATGAGCAGATGGTCTGCGTACTTGCTGACGCATGTATGAGTGAACTGGAAGGGAGGCGGGCTCGAATATGTCAGCGACAGCTATAGTATTTTGCAATATTGCAGCGCGCATGCAGAATACTCTTAGACAACAAGATGTCAATATGCCCAGAAGCATCACAACATCTGCTACTACGGCACTAGCATCACTTGAACGGTAGCGATACGCATCGGATTGATTTGAGAGAATACCGAAGTAAACACTCAATACCACCGACCTCGTGGAGGACAATTCAACCACAAATTCGCGACTCCATAGACTCAGAGACATACAAACATTTGCTGCTGTCTCATTGACTCCTTCATGGACAGAAAGAAGTTCCATTTGAAGAGGCCCACGGGATATACTTGCAGATGCACCTGGAGTGTGTCCAGAGTATCATTCACGGGGATGCGATCTTCCTGAGAAAATCATGCCAACAGTAGCGTATGTTAGAAAGAGTCGCGAAGCGTGAATGGGGGGGGGGGGGGGAAGGGGCAGTAGGGTTGACTGGCTGTTTGAAAAAGTGACATAATAGACTATTCCTATCGTAGTATTGCAACACGAACAATGCATGCCAATTCATAGGGGAAAAGTCTATACCAAGGTATATAAATATAACTGATATAGCAGATACAATATATATATATACATAAATACATAAATACGTACATGCATACATATAGATATGTTTATATATACATATTGTACACGTATATATATATATATATATATATAAATATATATATTCATAAATCCATATACATATACATGTATACGCACACACACACATATATATATATTTATACACACATACACACACATATATATATATTATGTATATCCAAATTTATATGGTATACTGCAACATGGGATACTCACCGCGAGGTTCCAGAAATTGTTAACGTATATGACGTTGTCGTATGTAAGGCTTTCATCGTTAAAGTTAAGATACTGCAGGCATGGCTCTGGGAGCTGTTTACGAGCGATCTTTCCCATGTCGTAAACAAGATTGATCGTTATATTCCTGGGCGATGAGAAGTCGTCGTGTATGTTATAGCTTCACTTTAGTTGTGTGCAGTAGAGCTCGCAAGGGGTATGATAGTTACAACTCACTACCGAAATTGCGAAGCATGGATCACATCGCAGACGAAACAACAATGGCGGACTTTTGTGTGGAAGACTACGGCATCACAACAGACGGGAGTCGATGAACAATACATTTGGACAACTTACGGGTGCCAGTAAGCGATGATGGTTCCGTCTGCATGAGGCGTAGGTGTTGGTTCCGCATTCGCGTCCACTTCATCTTCTGTACCAGGACTCACGGAGATAGGTAGGTGAGAACAAGAACACCTTATATCGGAATATACTGTCCCATTTGATACATAGTCTATAAGGGCACTGAGATAACTGCTGTCGTCTTGTCTCCGCATGAACACTTTCAACTATATCGATTTTAAAGTGTATGCGCACTCGTAACACTATTCCACAAATATTTATCACCAAACCCAAACCAAAATATATGGCAACTCAACAACTATGGCAACGAATTTGGGAGGCATGCTCGACATATCTATTGCCTATGTGTATGTGCAATCTACCCTGTATGTGTGTGAATTCAAAACAAGGACCTAAACCCTAAAACGTGACCCATTCCGAATGCCTCACCGAACAGCAGGCGTTTCTTCGTGTTGGCTTTTGCAACCTCCTTGTATATAGTCAGCTGTTGCGTCCTGGTAACTATAACAGCGTCACCGTTCGTCTCCCCACTGCACTCATCTCCAACTGCGCTACACGAATCCACGGCACTACCAAGCAAGTGGGCGGGGCCTGACAGCACCACGTGCACATAGAGTGAACCGTTGTTCTTGACGTTGTCCGATATGGGAAGAGCGTGTGTGATGGCAAAGCTCGGGTCGATGTCGGGGTGTTGGCTCCAGTTACCGATGGCCAGACTTTTCTCCCAGATGGCTGCCGTCTGAACGAGTGGTATAGTGTGTAATCAGCGACGTGGGGAAGATTGGAGAAGAATAGGAAGATCGCAGGTCAGTTGGAATATTCATGTACGGAACAGGTATATACGTGTTGATAATCAATATTTATGAAGAGTTTGGATCACGAGACTAGAGTAAATAGAATTCAAATCGGGTATTGTAGCAATCATAGGATCAGAATTCGGTTTTAGTATCTGAAATACTTACAAGATACATCTATCAGAATTACAACAGTTCGATTCTTGGATGCGTCTATATTGTAGTATCTATGTGAACCGGATCTCAAGTTTGTATCGTAATAGTTATACTCAATCACCGGGAATTCTTATAACACACTACTGGTATGTACTTTATATTCACCAAAAGAGTAAAGCAATATAATGACACTCACAAACGAGCTTCTACAAACGAACTGTGCATAAGCAAGTGTCGTGAGAGTTTATTCAGATCCACGAAGCTATCAAGCGGACTTTCATCCCAACCCTCAGGTAGGAAAGTATATACCTGTAAATGAGCTATGTGAGTTCCCGGCAAGTGTGTGTTCAGATCGCAAACAAACCGGATAGATAGAGCGAATGAAAGACTATCAACTACCAATGAACCGAAAACACACACACTAACACATGCCAGCCGTCAATGGGGTTGAATAACCAGCGCCAGATTGTCACTACTGACTGAAAAGATCACATACTTCGCTCGGATTTAAGCCAAAACTTGACTGCTCGTTGATGTAGATGCTCATGTAGGCTTCCGCTCCGTCGGCAAACAATGGGTCATAGAACACGTGCCCCTGCCTGAAAAATCAAAGTACAAGTGAGTTGCCATACCACAACACTCATACACAAAATACTAGGCATGCCGACAGATTGGGAACAGTTCATGGAAATCATACTCTCCACACCTTAGCTGTTCTCCTTTCAAGAAAAGCAGGAGCTCAACAACACACACAACTAAACTACTGTGAGACTGCTAATGCCCGGCCACTATGGTACTAATCAGTAGAATCGGACAACTACTAACTAACATGCAACCAATGAAATCAATCTACTGCACATACACTTCTAAAGTCTCAGTAACAGATACTTCACATGCCTGGGGGCAGCAGAGCTCACACCGGCCACTCCCGAGACACCAGATGCAGCAGCTGCGTCTCTCTTCTCCTGGGGCGCTGCCCTATTGGCTGCAACAGAAGCAGTAAAAAAGGTTGGATGTGTTTTAAAATCGATGTGTTTGTGTGTGTGTAGTAATAGTATGACATGCAAGGTGTATATCGGTACAAAATATCTTCTAGGTTTGAGTTATGAAGCATAACATCTGTTTATAGAAGATTGTGACGTGATTAGTACGTTATTTTTGACGACAGATGGTGTCTCTTGTGCGACGCTCTGCCACATACATCGGCAGTGATGAGTACTCTGATAAATACACTACCGGTAAGAAAGAATACTATCCAATGCGCAGTGCATCGTCTCAGTCCGGGAAGCTATGTCAGTAGTGTTAGCGATAACGATAACAGAAAAATCAGTGCCGATGTCCGCGGTCAATGGTTGTGGCTACGAGGGCATCCATTCAGCTGACCAAATGCTTCGTTGACCACACTAATGTTTATGGAGCAGTGCTGGTCTATGTTGGTGCTGGTGTGGATAGTGGTGACCATTTTCCCTACAGGAGCACCTCTACACATTATTCCGTGTCAATAGCAACGAGCATCTATGTGTGCGGGTGAAACTTCTCTTGAACAAAGCAAATGTACTATCCTTGCCAGCCAGTCGTCAACTGTACCAGTCTATGCGACTAGCCGATGCAATCTGCGTTTGATACCAGATTACAATGAGATGGTGCATAGCTTACTTTGTCGTTGTGAGGTGTATCATACAGCTAATAAAACAGTCTATAACGAGTTTGAACACAGATTAGAGTTGATTTTGTGAGTCAAAATGTTCAACATAGCCTAAGGGGATCGATGATCGTACATGGATGAAACGCAATAAAAAACTCACGAGCAAATATAAATGCAGGTATTCATACAAAAATCTATATAACAAATTAAGTAAAAATAAACACATAAAGCGCTTACAAACATATTCTTTATATATATATATATATATATATGTATATATATATATATAATGATATATACACACACACACGCACACTACGCATACACACACACACACAGACACACACTACACACAC